GCAATCAGAGATTAAACGAAAACGGGTTTTGATTTGATTTATCGAAATAAAATCTTATCCATTATGGAGTTATACTCTACCACAGTGCCCAAGTTTTATACTTATGTCAAACTTTGTATAGTCAGTAATAACAATGAGGATTGACAAATCTATAGAGAAATTAAATCCTACAGTTTGAAGTGATATTTTTTAAGACACCGTTGTCAGTAACATGCGAACCAAACCACCTACCTTAAGAGTGAAGTGGACATCTGTGTCCACATTCTGAACTAAAGGTATACCTAAGCAATTAACTTACGATTTATGTCAGTAACTGATGCATAATTTCATTACTTCGTTGTCATGGAGATTGCTTTTAATGCCCATTTTACATACACTCATGGGACAGCTTTCAAACTTTTCTGTTATGCATGAATTAAACTTGTAAAGCATTTGTCAGGGTGAATGGATTTTAAAACTTCATAGTTTTATAGGATAACAAAAGTTCCTTACAGTTCGTATAGGTTAAATAAAGTTACAAACTTCTATTCAACCCGAAAATTACTCTAATATTTAAGCAAATACTAATCACTTTCAGTTGTAAAACTGTAAAACACTAAAATTCTATGATATTTGGCGGAAATTTAAAGTGTCATTTAAGCTTGTGATATGTGTAGACAGATAAACAATAGATTATCCTTTATTGGTAATACAGTGATCGATGTCCAGTCTGGAAATTAACCAATCAGAATAATCGGCCTAAGTAAGATAACGCCCACTGCTTTATTGATTATGATTACGGACCAATTGACATATCCTTGGTGATATTTTGAATTATACATTATTGTGTAAAATATACTTTTCGGCTAACGTCGTTGTCGGTTAAGTAGTGCGCGCTGGGGAAACAGGTAGCTGTCCAACTCGGCGCCCCTATTTCAATCTCAACGTATTACGAAACATAACAGATCATAATCATTACAGTGCTTCTTATCATGTTATTTGAAGTACAGAGTGAGTCGGCTATTTCGACTTTCAACCAATGGCTGTTGGAATCAGTCTGGGTGACAGGTTAGTATCATAAATCTCTTCACAATATGTGACTCAAAACTTGTTACATGAATAGTATGTTCCAGGGAGCTGAGTTTGATTATTTCGACTAGTTCTTGGCAGTAGACAGCTGGAGACTATTGGCAATATGGCTCAAAATCGTTCTCAATAGTGTCGACACACTCACCCTCTCTATTTTCCCAGATCCATTAAATCCCCATGTTACTACTCTTTATCCAGTATACTTCAGCTCACTATATTTCTTTTGAATTCTCATTTTCGCTTTTCCCTGTCTTTGTATGCTACATGGATTGTGACAGTTTAAACTTCTGTGTAAAGTCCTATGATAAAAACTCAGTTATCAGTCAGTCAGTCAGTCTCACGTAGCTGAAAAAAGGAAGGGTCAAAAACCAATACCAGCGACTTGTCTTCCCATCAGTGCAGGAACTTAAAAGATATCATTCAGATAAATGTGGGAATAATAAACGCAGAAAAGATGTAAAACGGCATACATTTCGCCATGTCCCTTACGATATCGATTGTACTGTACCCAGCAGTGCAAATTCAGATACCTATTTTGCAAAAGGCATTAAAGTTTTCCAATCTGATTAGAGTTGTAGTATCTGAATTACCAATTATACGCTGACAAACTACATGATAGATCTTAGTTGTCTGCACCTCTCAGAAGCACAGTCAATCAAATATGATAAAAATTAAAAACTACATGCGTGCAGTAATCGAGTGGGAAACTTATTCAGCAAATCACAAACTTTCATCACTTAAACAGGTTACCTTGATTTGTGGTTTAATGTTTGAAACTCTGGACCTAAATTCACTGCGTAATAGATATACGTATTGCTTTAGTGTTTTAACAGTCATTGAACACCACCTATCCAATTACAGCCAGTGCAAGTTGTATCCATTATATAACCTTGATCCTGTGTGATGACTGGGACTGATACTCTACTGCAGATCAAAACTCCACTGATTATTGAAATAATCTTCGAAGATGTGTGAATGAGAAAAGGCTAACTAATCAATATCGCTGCAAAATATAAATAAAACCAATCATAGTTCTTCCTGGTTCGCTCATAATTTATTTCAGATTTCCACATCCACCCTAATAAAACACCAGAAGCTAACCACTAGTTAATTTGTTTTGACTATACCCTAGAACAACATAACTAAAGACCGAAATAAGGTATTTGCATTGAGTCATTTCTGTTGCATGTGTTGGGTGTAGACTCAATGAATCAGGATTCAGTAATAAACGTCTCTCTCCACCTACATGGATTACTTCTTAGAATTTCAACTCTCTCCCAAGCTACTGTGTGGTTGTGTTAATGCTTAGCTTTTTTCGAAATTACTTATCACTGTGGGATCAATCATTCTAACCTTAGATAAATTCCCATGTTCTGATAATCTCACCACTCCTGATCTGCTAGTCTGACCTATGTAGTTGACTTAACTCACAGTCATTGCAAGGTATTTTGTAAATTGTATTATTTTGTCTAATTGGGTCCACCGCGTCTTTTAGCCTACAGAGCTCGTCTCTGAGTGAGTATGAAGGTTTGAATGCCACCCTCATTCCCCTCCTTATGTGGTACAACAGTAGATGCATTATATTCTCTCTTATTTATGTTATCATTGCTACCCTCGCTTATGAATAATCAAAACACTTAGCTCTAATATTATGCCCCATTATACCCATACTTATGAATTACCGAAATAAGGTTTAAGGGTTTCATGTTTCAGTCAGTGAACTGCGTTGGTTAGAAATATGCCGCTAACCAAGCCGCCACAAAAATTGGTTACACTTTTACACAGGTCTGCATGGGGAACTAAATGAAAATAATGAATGTCTTTCCAGTAGCGGGAAAAATGAATAATTTTCACTTCCCACACTAAATCCTAGCAATTTACTACAATATTAACAATGACTTAACTTCTTCCAAGCTGAGTAAACACTTTTGAATATGAATATGTTAGTCTGTTTGAGATTTGAATGTTCAAGAATAGAAAATATAATAGCCACCGGCCTTAATGCATCTCTGGGACTTGATGGCAATTACCCAAGAGTGCTTAAAGCGTGTGTGGACATTCTGTGCTTCCCAATAGCAATGCTTATTTTCGAAGGAAGATCTCTTTCTGACCGCAAACGAGATGCAGTCATATCAGTGCATAAATTCAACACCTAGGTGATGGAGAGAGTGCTACATGAATCACTGCACAACCACTTACTTAGGAACCCAATTACGCCTAATTCATAGCGTTTGTAACTCGAATGGTCTTGTGATACTAATCTGTCCTTTGTTTCGATTTTCGGTAACCTTAGACAGTTGGGCACAGCTCCCTCCTCATAATGCTCCAATCAGTAGATGAACAGAGGTGGATAAGTGCAACAAATTTAGACAGGTTACATATGAGACGACACCTGGAAGAAAACTCACTAGTGCCTCCGTACTCAAAAAGACACACCAAATCAACTGAATATGAATACAAAGGCCAATAAGAAGAACATTAAGTAAAGCTTCCGAAAGCACCATTTAGTCTCCATCCAATAATTTATAGGCCGAATGTGTGGATATAATAATGGTGCATATTCTATTACATTTTTCTTCCTTTTCTACATTACTGTTGTCATTATGCATGAAGGAAAACGAATGTCACAACTAAATTCTCTTTTGTTTCTTCATACACAAGGGTAAAAACCGCTGTTTCATACATAGAGTCTTAGGAAACTGCAGGCTGTTATTTCTGTTTAAATGTAGTTAAAGCTGAAAAGTGATCATACAGTTCATTTGTCAAAAAATATCTTGACAACACAGGTTTGCAGCCAACGTTTTCTCACTTTCTCAAGATTAGTTTACTTTCCCCATGATTTTCACCTCATGAAATATTAGATAACGTAAAATCTCCGAAATTGCGTAAACTATTCTAGACATAATACAGTAAAACTTGATGTGTCCGAAAGAAAATATCAAAATAGCAATAACGTAATTACTGACAGAATGTGGAAAAAACTCAAATTAATTTTTTTTCCTTACATCTACTGTTTATACATACTTTCGCCGAGGACCGAAATATTTCCCGGTCCACTCCATCGACCCCTGGCTGCAATACAATACAACAATGCTATGGAGTGCTTTTAATTTCTTGTTGGTAACCGAACCTAGTTCACACACCATTTATTCCATTTTGATACCATAGGCTGTGTACCATATAAGTTTGAGACCCGGGATTCTCCAACTACTCTAGGTGAGTCTTCCGTAGCTACAAATCCGGTAACCTGCCCTAGAGTACCAACAGGAACACCCCACACTGTGTGAAGGCAGTAAAAAAGGCTATGAAAGTATGGCTGCTTGATAATATTTCGCAAGGAAGACTGACTGACTAACTGACTGGTTTCAACATGGAACCTTGCACAGGTGTGAAGCATTTCGAGCTGCCACTCGCCATGTAGCACACAAAACAAGAGAAGAAAGAGCAACAATAAACAGAAGTGTGAGGGAAAAATAACAGAGGAGTGGTTATATCCGTAAAATGCCTTCGACAGTCTGGACAAGCACAATGCAGAACCGCGTCGCTGGATGAAGCAGGGACTCGTCAGGTTAGTGTACCCCCACGTTCTAATAAATGTTCGAAACAAGGTGACAATGGATAGGGGTTGAGACACTACTTTCAGACAAAAACGAAACATAAACACCCTGCACTTCCACCTCTTTCCTCTTAATGTCAAGACGAATGCAAAGCACGAAATTCTTCCATATTTACTGTTGCTTTAGGGCTTATGTGGTCCATTTTCCAATGTATTTGGTCAACCAATTTCTCAAGACAATTCTTATATCAGCTGATAGAGGTGAACGACAAAATAAATCGGCATCAGACTCCTTTCTGTTCCCAGAGCACAACCACATACCAAATGCAAAGATGCGCTAAACCTCCTAGACAATGAAACGAGAGTCAATTCACATCGCTGATGAAAACATGGGAAGCCGTTCATACATAAGAAAGGATACACAACTCACTAGAGTGTTGGACAAAACAAATTCACCTTTCTGATTTGTAAGAATATTATAGTAAAATTTCACGTGTATATTATGTACATAAAATAAGTGGCCGCTGGAAATTTTTACAATACAATTATTTGCTTCAAACGTTTATTGTAGAATTTCCATTTTCAGTCGAGAAAGGGCATATCCTTTGTGAACTGAAAATTGGGAGGCGAGAAAGTAAGAACTTACTTGGTCTACAATAACTTGAATTGACTTGGAATAGTCTTCGATTCGCATTTTTAACTCCTGAGCGAGCTTTTCCTTTCTTGCGCACTCTGCATTCAGTGCATCTATTTCCTTCACCAGGATTAGGAGTAAGAAAATGGTACCTCTTTCAGTGCGTAATCCTGGCAATACGTTGATAATGCCAGGCGCTTTTTAATAAACCAGGAATCCATTTTCCGGCAAGCATCTAGAAACGATGCCATGTGCTTATCATTAAGGCCATGCTGTGATTCCGATAATCCAGAATCGCTGGAGCCTGTAGAGGACAAAACCATAAATATGTTCTAAAAAATGAAATCATCTCAAAAATCCTACATCTAGCTGGGTCTCAAGGGCTGAGAAAACTTCTTCATCCTCATCCATTGACCTTGAACCGAAAAATGCGCTGGTTGACTAATAGTGACTAGTTCGATATACAATACCATCCTTAAGACCTTAAGAGCTAGCATAAACCATACTAATTTTTTTGTGTTTGCTTCTTGGTAGTTATTGAATAGTTATCTGAGCTGCGATGATCTTCTGTGTGGTTTGTTACTCCATTCACCTTCAAAAACTTTGTTAGACAATGAATGAATCGGCACAGGACCTTGTTTATATATTTTTAATTTTCAGTATACATTGTGTTAAGACTGTAGCGTTGCAGTGACCGGAGTTAGGCGTCTCGCCTGTTAATCCTGTGGAATGTTTGAAAGGTGAGACAATAGCGAACAAAAGTTTTTCCACTTCAGTGTCAAGTGCGTGGAGTTGTGAGCTGTGCAGGCCACTACAGTAATACATTTGACACGGAGAACTCTTGAAACCAAGTGTTTGTGCTTCATTAAATCTTATGCACTTCCTGTATAGATTTGTCATATGTTCACCTAACAATTGCCGGAGTTTGTAATAAAGTTAAAGTTATAATTCATAATTCCAAGAGTTTTTGTCATTTGTATTGCCAGGAATTCACTACTCGTTCAGTTTACGCAACCGAAATAACTATTTCTTACTTTACTGAGGAAGCAATTGCCACATTGTTCGAAGAAGTAGTACATAAGTTTATGAGTTTTATAAACTCTACAGAATTCGTTCCATTCACTTAATACTGCTTCTCAATTATGAAGTAAAACATATTTCCAAGCGTGATGTAAAACAAGGTGTTGCGTGTTCTATTTGACTAAATTAGCGTACACGTATTTCCTAATACTTCTTCACGTTTATCAATGTGCGCAGATGTTGTGGCTTCCCGACGCCCACAACGTAAAATCAGAAGGCACTTGTGAAGAGTGTAATCGTGTATTATAGCCGTAGTCAAATTTCGAAAATGTATCAAGGTAACGTTCAACAGTAAATTTGACAAATGTTTACGAAGTACATATAAAATCGGTATGTGTAAACATATAATATGAGTATGCAAATTAGATTAAAATGTATGTTTATAGTTGGTATAGGGGTACTACATAATTCCCCCACCAGAACACTGAAATATAAAAAAATACATTTAAGTGTTCGACAATAAAATGCGTTAGCGTAATACGTAGCAGCGATAGTACATAGAAAGCGATTTATTAAGCTGAAAAAGTAAGCAATTTAATGCGGTCAACAAGGCCGATAATAAATGCGATAATAAAGGAAAAAATAGGATTGATGATCGTGGTAGAATATATAAGGAATGATACAATCGGCTGGGGATCTGTAGTCTGCATACGGAAACGAAAGGTGAATATTAAGCGCTATATGATTAAATGTAATAATACAGGGAATATCGATGTTAAAATAGTAGTGACGTGATTGACGTATGAAAATATTAATCAGTTAAATGAGTAGTTAAATGACAGTTACGAATAAGGATAATAAAAATGAAAATTCGTAGTAAGTTATATTTTGATGATTTGCACATAACGTTTAGGCCAATGAACTCTCCTACCAGAACGGGTAGTTTTCATAGGTTTCTCTGGCGACGTTGAAGCTTGCGTGGATGTAGCTGTTGGCACGTCGTTCAGCTGGTCTTTATCGTTGGCTTCGAAATCGTCGATGAATGCTGGTTTGACTCTGTCGACACTGATGGCTTCTGCTTTATTCAGTCGTTCTATCGTGATAACTTTATCGTTTCTATTTAGAACTTTGAATGGGCCATCATAAGCGGGTTGAAGTGGTCGCTGTACACCCTCTCTCCTGACGAAGACGTGAGTGCAATCTGTCAGTTGTGGCGGGATGTATGACGTTCGTTCCTGCTGGCGTGGAAGTGATATCTTGAGCTCGTTCATGTGTTGTTTTAGCTGGTGCACATAACCAGTCATATCTTGTGGAACTTGGTTACCTGGGGTGAAAAATTCTCCTGGTAGTCGTAATGTTGTTCCATAGACTAGTTCGGAAACACAGCAGCCAATATCTTTCTTTAGAGCAGATCGTATACCAAGCAGTACCAGTGGGAGTTTGGTTGACCAGTCGTTTTGAGTCAAAGAAGCAGCGAGCGCGGCTTTGAGTTGTCGATGAAGGCGTTCAACCATGCCGTTGGAACTAGGATGGTAGGCGGTTGTTCGTATTCGTTTGATGCCCAGTAATTCAGTTGGCTGGTTAAAAAGTCGGCTTTCAAACTGAGCACCTCTGTCCGTAGTGATAATGGATGGGACACCAAAGTTAGCTATCCAGTTTTCGACCAAAGCTTTAGCTACTGTTTCAGCGGAGACGTCGGCTATTGGAACTGCTACAGGCCAACGAGTGAATCTATCGATGCAAGTTAGAATATAGTTGAAACCATTGGAAGGAGGTAGTGGACCAACTATGTCTACATGTATATGTTCAAATCTAGAGTCGGGACTAGGAAAGCGACCAAGTGGTGCATTAGTGTGACGGTTGATTTTGACTCTTTGATAAGACAAGCAATTTCGTGTCCACTTCTTAACATCGCTGTTAATGTTCGGCCATATAAATCTTTCTTTCAGTAGTTTGCTAGTAGCGCTGACACCGGGATGAGACAAGTTATGTAACTTCTCGAATACTGTATGTCTCATAGCTGCTGGAATGAAAGGTCGATATTTACCCGTAGAGGTGTCGCAGATTATTTTTGTCGCGCCAAAAGGAATTGCGTCTAGTTTTAAAGATGTTGTTTTAGAAGACATGATCTTTTTTAGTTCGGCATCATCTCGTTGTAAGTTTGAGAGACGTTCGTAGTCGATGTCTGGGCATACAATGTTGTCAATGTGCACACGTGATAAAGCGTCTGCCACTTCATTGTTTTTACCCTTTACGTGTCGCAGATCGGAGGTGAACTGAGATATAAACTCGAGATGTCGTAGTTCGCGTGGAGAGTAGTTATCCTGTTTTGCTGATAAGGCTTTCGTTAGAGCTTTATGGTCTGTAAAGACAGTAAAAGCTGTACCTTCCAGCATATGTCGAAAGTGCTTGATTGCCAAATAAACAGCCAATAACTCTCTACCAAAAGTGCTATAGCGATACTGAGTAGGATTCAGTCGTTTCGAAAAGAATGCTAGGGGTTGCCATTCGCCGTGTACTTGCTGTTGTAAAACCGCCCCGATGGCAACGTCTGAAGCGTCTGTCATGAGAGACAGGGGGCGTCATTTTGGCGTCTGACTAAGAGCGTCTTGTCATTTAACAATTGTTTGACATTTTCGAATGCTTTAACAGCTTCTGCGGGCAAATGGAATGAACGACTATGTCCACGTAAGCAATCGGTTAATGGTTGTAAAGCTTTAGCACAGTTCGGGATAAAACGGCGGTAAAAATTAACGAGACCCGAAAATCGTCGTAATTTCTTAAAAGAATCTGGTAATGGATAATCTTTGATAGCTTGTACGTCATCAGGGACTGGTCTGATACCTTGGCTATCGATTAAATGACCGAGAAATTTCAGTGAGGTCTTACCAAATTCGCATTTGTCTAAGTTGACAGTCATGCCGTATTGGTTCAGTCTTTCAAACACTGTCTTCACATGTTTCAAATGCTCGGCTTCGTCTGCACTTGCAATTAGTAAGTCATCGATGTATGCGTAGACGAAAGGGAGACCACGGAGTACTTGGTCGATTAGGCGTTGAAATGTCTGAGCGGCATTCATTAGTCCAAAGGGCATGCGTACGAATTCGTATAAGCCAAATGGTGTGGTAATGGCGGTTTTCGGAACGTCATCCGGGTGGATGGGGATATGATGATACGCTCTGACAAGATCGATTTTAGAGAAAACTTTAACATCTGGTAAGTTGCTAGCGAAATCGTGGATGTGTGGTATTGGGTATCGATCAGGTACCGTTTGCTTGTTTAAAGCTCGATAATCACCACACGGCCGTATCTCACCAGAAGACTTTTTGTGTACCATGTGAAGCGGTGAAGACCAAGAGCTGTTGGACGGTCGAATAATACCAAGCTCTAGCATTTTATCGAACTCTGTTTTGGCGATTTTAAGTCGATGTGGGTCAAGGCGTCGGGGACGTGCAAAAACTGGCGGTCCAGTGGTTTTAATATTATGAACCACGTGATGCTTTGGTTCTGTTCCTCGAAAAGAAGGTTGTAAAAGGTCAGGAAACTGAGTTACCAAATTGGTATATGGAGATGCTGGTGTGCGTGTGACCATCAAGTTCAGTGATGATGCACGGCTAATCGTACCAGTAATGTACGTTTTATTGAGCAAATCTATTAGCTTGGGGCTTATCGGATCAACTAACAGTTTGTGTTGCTGTAGAAAATCAATACCGAGGATTGGGGATGGGACGTCTGCAATGATGAAAGACCAAGTGTAGGTATTCCGCAAACCAAAATCCAAAGTCACTCGTTTACTTCCATATGTAACAATACTGGACTGATTAACAGCTTGGAGAGTAACTGCTGGGTCAGGATGTTGACGTTCCTTTGTAGACGGAGGGAGAACACTCACCTCTGCTCCTGTGTCAACTAAGAATGTAGTACCGGTATTTTTATCTGTTACATAAAACAAACGACTGTTAGATCGTAGGTTGCCAACAGTATTTTTTACACATGACGATATATCTTTTGGTTTAGTCTGAAAGTTACAAGGTGAACGGCACCGTCGTGCATTGCTTCCATAACTACGGTGATACCAGCAAATAATACTGCGATGTCGTGACGTGCTAGGGGATTGAGGAAAACGTCGACGAGATGAGCTTCTAGAACGGCTTGGTTGTGTGCGTGTGGTCAGTTTTGCTAACTGACTCAGTAAGGTGTCAACTTTGTGTTCTAGAGTCTGTATCCTATCGTGAGTGTCTGGTATTCTACTGGTGGAAGCGACAGATTGAGGTGTTGACCTCTCGTACATGCGATCCGCGATTTCGGTGAGCCTTTCTATGTCAATGTCGTCGTCTCCGAAAGCAAGAACCTGCTGGATGTTTGCAGGAAGTCGTCGTAGCCATATTTGGTAAAAGAGACGTTTATCGATTTCTCTTCCGGCAACTAGGCT